TGGAGGGGTCATGCGTTTGAAAAATGCCAGTAGGCTCAAACACTCAGTCATAATGATTTCTGATTCTTCTTCTCACAAGGGTTGGGTCCACTCGTCGTATGGTTTTCAAACACTTCCCAACCGTGCTGTACGTGGAGGTTGTCTACTCAGGCCGATATTTTCAATACTTCACCCTTCCAGCTAGACCAACCCTGGTGCGATTCAAACCTGGGTTTCATGCTTGTAATGTTAACATTCTAATCACCTGGTTACGTGATCACTGTTAGGAGTTGAATAAGGTGAACATATCCTATATAATCACCTGTATCCTTGCAAATATCAGAGGGTATCCCCCAGACGAATGCTATGCCCGAAGGACAGAGTCTCGTCTCGGAAAACTGACTCCTTTTTTTACGTGGTCTATAGGGAATTTTTGCCCGTGCCTACGGGCTCGGGTACCCCACTTTAAACTCGGCCTTGTGCCTTATCTTGCTGCGTGGGGCAGCGGGCAAATAAATAATCACCTGTATCCTATTATCTCTTGTCTTTGATCGCATTTTAAAATAATAATATTACATATGGCATAAAATATAGTTCGTTTTTCTCTATCTGAATACCTTTTCAAAAGAACTACAGATGTCGAAGGTTATATTTCTTATAAACATCTCTAGCGGTCTATTCAAAGTGGACTTCATGTTTTATACGCATTGGGTGACAATTTGATGTCATGTTACTTCGACATCAGTAATGATGTCAGCTCTTGGAAATCCACTTGCAATGTTACAATTAATCTATGCTTTAAGGCTTCTTTTTCATTCTCTGTCAGGTCGTATCTTTCAGAAATGATAATGGTGTTGGGATGTTTAACAATGCCCTTTGGCAAACAATCCATTCAGTTACTTGTCATGACTTTATGCAGCTGTCATCAGCTTTCATTCCCTGATGTGACGTATTGATTTCTTTAAGATCTTTGCTTTAATCCAGACATTCGTATTATGGAGAAGAAACCTGTTGTTAGGTGTCTTTCTTCGCGTTTCATTGAATCTTCTGTTCTTACTTATGCTTACATTTACAAATTTCCGAAAAAGTTTTACTTTTGCTGTTTATATTAGAATGTTTGCTGTAGAATCGTTTGCATTCAGCGAACCCGGTAAATGTAGACTGTTTAGCATTGATTAAAGTGTAATTGTACAACGCACTTGTCAGTCGTCCAAGACTTCCAACATCGCGGCTGGTCGATGAAGTGACCGCTGCAATCCAGAGTTAACCTTATCCCACGGTGTGATTTAAGTTTGGTCATAAGGCAGCCAAAATCGGACCGCCGCAGGTATCTACGTGTTGGGCTGGTCTAGACAGGGCGATGACCTCCGGAAAAAAAAATAACACTCGAATAAATTGCACAAATGTAAATACTGTTTTTATAACAGTCCTTCGTTCAATAATTGGTTTATCCGAGTTCGCATGCAGTTAATTATCGAGTCTGATATCGAAAGTGATATTATTGTTATCTTGGTAATGTTTGGGTTGCTGTTTTGGTAAAGTTCAGCACACGGCTCAAGTCGGAGGCTTTCGTCGGCAGATAATAACGTGGACCTCTTTCCTGTCTCTCGTCTCATCTCTGTCTCTTCTGCCTCTCTTCTCTCTTTTTTTCGACCCGTCTGTCGAATTCGCTTTACGTATTAGTATTTATTCACATTCGTTAGGCGAAGTAAGAGAAGTCGATAATTCTGGGAAATTCCCTTCTTCTTCCCCTCTCTCATATTATTACCTCTCACTAAATATCCACCTTGGCTTATCCCCCCCCCTCCTGGTATTTCAACTCAACTTAAGACCAGGGTAATCAATTCCAAATTCGTTGTTTACGAAAAGTGAAATTTTCGTTTTACAGCTTGCATTTGCAGCTGTGTCTTAATCAACACTGCCTCCTAAGTCACTTTTCGATTGTTCTATCTGCTCAACATAAAATTCAAGTCTTTTATGCGTGAATTAAAACTTCAATTTTTCCCACGTTTTTTTTTTGTATTAGCTCTTCTCGTTTCAATGTCTCTTATCACATAGCACTTTCTATTAATAAGAAAACTTTCTTAGGTTTTATTATACCGCCGTAACAACAAATTTAATAACCCACAGAGGTGTTGATATGCCGTAAAACAAAATCAACCAATCATCCATCAACTACTATCGTCAAAACATTTAAATAAATGCCAGTCGTTACCTCCTGCTTCTCTTTCAATCCTGTTCTTTTTATTGTTCTTTCCACTCAGGCAACATTTTCTCGGTTACCTACAATCGCAGTAACCCCTTGAGTTTTAGTAGATTCATCGCCTTTCTTGCGGAATGACTAAAATAAAATAAAAAATAAAGGAGCCATGTTTTGATAGAGTTCAAAATTGTATACATTGTCTTATGGAGAAAGACGTAGTTTTAAATCATATTGCAATGGAAAAGTTTCAAATGAATTCAAGTCTTTAGTTCCACAACTTCAGGCCTTTACTTCAACGACGCGCCATCTTCTGTGTTC